CTTTCACTGATATCTCAGTACTATCATCACATTCAACGAGACTGCGACATAGATCTCTAGGACTATGCAGAAACCTGATTAATTTGGGGGTAAATAATTGTGCATATTAATTACTAATTTGCATAATTAGTTAATCATTTACTGATGTCCAAAGAACCACTCTTTGGATTTTAATGACACTTTTAAAGAGTACTCATCACATTTCAATGAACCTAGGACTATACATCATATTAGTTTTTAGTAAATATTTATGCTTCTTAATCACCTAATTAACATATTTAATCAATTAATACTGGTATCTCAAATACTGATCATCACATTTGAATAAAATTTGGTACATAAATGCTCTAGGACAATAGACAGCCTGTAGTGATTAATTTTGGGTGAAAATCTCTTCATATTAATTCTTTAATTAGCATAATAATTAATAATTTTTTGGTTCTAATCACATTTCAATGAAAATTGGTACATAGATATTACATTACGCAGATCTTATTACTTTTACATTGGGCAGACCTTATTATACTTAAATCTGTTCATATTAGTTACCTTATTTGCATAAGCTTTTCCATCAATATCTCAAGTTGAAGTAATTTTGAATTAATTTTTAATGCGTCTCCAATACGTTCTTTCTAAGCTTTCTTTGATTAATAGTTGCTTTGGACAAAATTACCAAGCTTGCTTACTGGTTTGCTGTGCACATTTTGCAATTATTATCAAATTGCTGCTGGTTTGACCAAGCAAATCAAAATTTTAAAAAATTTGAAACTAAATATGAATTTAAAACAATTGTTTTCCTTCTCAATTATTTCCTTTGTATAAATTCACTTATGATAAAGTGAATGCAAAGCTTGTAACCCTAACTGTAATCGGATTCTTTAGTCTTCAAAATCTAGATAACAGTTAATCAGGCCATACCGTACATTATTAAACTTTGTCAGGTTGTAACCCTTGATATGAAAGTGTACAGCAAAAAACAGTTTCCTCCACTTCCATATCCTATTTTAGAATGAAGTTAAACCGGAAGTGGCCATTTTGAACTCTTTCTGAGGGTCTAAGCATTCTAATTTTTAGAATGTTTGTTCCATCATTGATATATAGGCTACTTATTTCACAAATAAAAACTGTGAAGTGACTTTTCCTGAGTAAAATTGCCAAAAAAACCTTGAATTTGAGATTCAGCATCTCTGTATAGAGAGCATTATTGTTTGAAAAGCTCTTTATGATTGGATATGTGGTTTGGTGCCAACTTAACATTTCTTCTAAACAGGAAGGAGTTTTATACTGATGCCACATTAATTTTGATTGATTTGAAGTTCGCTATCTTTCTACTGAACTCTTTCAGACGGCAGTCGTGTTGGTAGCCATCTTAGATTTCCAACAAAAATGGCAAAAAAAATTGAGCATTTGTTTTTCATGAGTACTTTTACAAATTGACTTGAAATTGTGCATTAGTATCTATGGTCTCAGGTTTTTAAAAGAAAATTAAAATACTTTTGATCAGTCGCATGCTTTGGCTGACATTTTGAATTTGGTGTAAAAATATGTTGCTTCTTGCAGTTTTTTTGTCAAGCCATTTGTGAACACCCTGGGTGTCAAATTGCCAAACTTGCTGTTCTTATTGACCCAAATTTGTAAGACTACCTAACTCTCAAAATTGTGATTGGTCAACTGATTCAGCAGCCTTATTGGATTGAAGGCATATCATGCATCATTCATGGGCAAAGGGAGAAAACACACACTACTCCGGATTTGGTACCTTCATAAGTATAATTTTTCTACAGGTCCGATTTTATACACCTAAAAAACAAGATCACGTCATGTTTATCTTCTGTTGTACATCTGCTATGTTGAATCTAAAAACTCGCCACACTTCAGTCGACCCCAGTTCTGATGCAAAACGTTTATCTCAAAGTAATGTTCACAACATAAAAGATACAAATATAATCA